CCCAGGGGATTCCTGTGCCTTTCCCAGGGGATTTCTGTGCCTTTCCCAGATGATTTCTGTGAATTCCCCAGGGGATTTCTGTGAATTCCCCAGGGGATTTCTGTGCATTCCCCAGGGGATTTCTGTGCCTTTCCCAGGGGATTTCTGTGCCTTTCCCAGGTGATTTCTGTGCATTCCCCAGGTGATTTCTGTGAATTCCCCAGGGGATTTCTGTGCATTCCCCAGGGGATTTCTGTGCCTTTCCCAGGTGATTTCTGTGCCTTTCCCAGGGGATTCCTGTGCATTCCCCAGAGGATTTCTGTGAATTCCCCAGGGGATTCCTGTGCATTCCCCAGGGAATTTCTGTGCCTTTCCCAGGGGATTCCTGTGCCTTTCCCAGAGGATTTCTGTGAATTCCCCCGGGGATTCCTGTGCCTTTTCCAGGGGATTCCTGTGCATTCCCCAGGTGATTTCTGTGCATTCCCCAGGGGATTCCTGTGCCTTTCCCAGAGGATTCCTGTGCATTCCCCAGGGGATTTCTGTGCCTTTCCCAGGGGATTCCTGTGCCTTTCCCAGGGGATTCCTGTGCATTCCCCAGGGGATTCCTGTGCCTTTCCCAGGGCATTCCTGTGCATTCCCCCGGGGATTCCTGGCCATTGCAGGCACCTCCAGCACGTGTTTGACCACGGCGTCGGTGGTGCCAAACAGATCCACGCCGGTGATGCCGCGCACGTCGGATTCCACGGCCCCGGGGGAGAGATTCTTCTTCCTGAGCCCTGGGAAAAAAATCCCAAAAAAATTCCAGGAAAAAAAAACCTCGGGAATCACCTCTGGTTCTGCACATTCCTTGGGAGCAGGATTTCCCCCTGGATCTCCCTTTTCTTCTCCAGGCTGAGCCTCCACTCCCCCCCCCCCCCCCCCCACCCCCCCCCCCCCCCCCCCCCCCCCCCTCAGGATTCTCCGTTCCCATCCCGGGATTTTCCAGCTCCACCTCTGGGATCCAAAAAAATCCCAAAATTCCAGGGCTTGGGAGGGAATTCCCAGCTGAGCTGTGCCCAATCTCCACGTGGTGATTCCAGGAATTCCCTGCAGGGATGGGGATCCAACCCTTCCTGAACCCCTTGAACACTTCCCAACCCTTTTTCCATGGAAAAATCATCCCAGATTTCCCAACCCTGGCCCAGCTCGAGGCCGTTCCCTCTTGTCCTGTCCCCATTCCCTGTGATCAGATCCCAAATTCCCCCTGGAAGATCCCAAAATTCCCCCTGGATTTCCCCTCAGGATTCTCCATTCCCTTCTCCAGCTGCTCCAGCCCCGTTCCCATCCCAGGATTTTTTGGGATCCCACATCCTTTATCCCAGGATATCCCAAATTTTCCATGGAATCTCACAGATTATACCCCACACCCATTCCCATTCCTGGCTTTTCTGTTGTTTTTCCATGGAATTTTCCCTGGAATCTCAGTGGATCTGTCCCCCACTCATTCCCAGGTTATCCCATTCTGATTCCCATTTTTTTCCATGGATTTTCCATGTTATTCGTTGGAATTTCACTGGGTATGTCCCACACCCATTCCCATGGATTCCCATGGATTCCCATGGATTTTTCCATGGGTTTTTCCCTTTTTTTTGGGGAATTCTCACTGGATATGTCCCACACCCATTCCCATGGATTCCCATGGATTTTTCCATGGGTTTTTCCCATTTTTTTTTGGGAATTCTCACCGGAGATGTTCCACACCCATTCCCACACCCATTCCCATGGATTCCCATGGATTTTTCCATGGGTTTTTCCCATTTTTTTTTGGGAATTCTCACCGGAGATGTTCCACACCCATTCCCACACCCATTCCCATGGATTCCCATGGATTTTTCCATGGGTTTTTCCCATTTTTTTTTGGGAATTCTCACCGGAGATGTCCCACACCCTGACAGTCTGGTCCAGGCTGGCCGACACCACCAGGTCCTCGCTGGGGTGGAACTGAGCACACATCACGTAATGGTTGTGTCCTGTCAGGACACTGAGCAGGGAAAAACAGGGAAAAAAAACAGGGAAAAAACGGGATTAAAACTGGGAAAGAACTGTGAGAACATTCCAGCAAAACCCGGGGAAAAAACGGGGAAAAACAGCAAAAAAAACCCGGGAAGAAACAGGAAAAAAAGGGGATAAAAATGAGATTAAAGCTGGGAAAGAACAGTGAGAACATTCCCAGGGAATGCCAGGAAATACCAAGAAATGCAAGGAAATGACAGGAAATCCCATAAAAATCCAAAGGAAATCCGAGAAAAATCCAAGGAAAATCCCAAGAAAATCCAAGGAAAATCCAAAGAAAATCCAAAGAAAATCCAAGGAAAATCCCAGGAAATCCCAGGAAACCCCAGGAAACCCCAGGAAACCCCAGGAAATGCCAGGAAATCCCAGAAAATTTAAGAAAATCCCAGGAAATCCCAGGGAATCCAGGGAATCCTGGAGCCTCACCAGACACAGGTCCTGGACTGCCAGTTCCACACACGGATGGTTTGGTCATCAGAGGCACTCAGGATCCAGGGATATTCCTGGGAAAATCCAAACCAAAATTAAAATTAAAATCAAAATTAAAATTAAAATCAAAATCAGGACCAGGATTGGGTGCAGGGAGAGATCCCAGTGCTGGGAATTCCTGGGAATTTGTGAAGGGAAAAGGAGCTCAGGGAAGGGATCCTGGAGGGAGGAATTGCCAAGGAGAGGAGTGCCAGGAATGGATTCCCAGGAAAAAATTCCCATTGGAAATTCCCAGGAATGGATTCTCAA